AAAAAAAAAAAAAAAAAAAAAAAAAAAAAAAAAACATGAAGAGCCACAAACAGCCATTTCGTTAAAATGGACATTTTATCTTTTTTGAAGGATGGCCCTAAGAACGTCACCTTTCTAACTCCTGAGGATTTGGCAGTCTGAAAATGCTGGACACACTTGGATGTATCTGGACCATACATCCGAGGGGGGCTGGCGTTTTCAGAACGCCGGACCCTCAGGAGATAAAAAGGTGACCTTTTTAGGGCCAGAAAAGTAAGTTTCAATTTCATTCAACAAAATGACTGTTCACAGGTGATGGCAACTCACCACGTATTACTTGTTGCTTTGAATGAAATTTCCATTGCTTTCCCTTTTTGCTGGTTTTCTTCACTTTCCCCCCTCCTTTTCTTTCCTGTGTGTATCTGACACGCTCTCGTATGCATGATGAGACATGATGAGACATGATGAGGCATGGAAATTGTCGCAGGCTGTCATGAATTGCCAATGTTCTGAGCATACAACTTGGGATTGGCACAAACACTTCCTTCAGAAAAAGAGATGTTTTTGAGAGATATAGGGAAGGATGTGCAAAGAAAGAAGAAGAGAAAGAAGAAGAAGAAGCAAGGGTGTGGAAAATTTCACAAACAGCAAACAGGTGAAATTGACAGCATTGTCTAGGAAAAATAGAATTTGTTTACCAATAATAAATCTATGAACACATGGCATCGGGAGGGGCGATTTCGCATCTCTCTGAGATCACAAAGGCTGCAAATTTTGCGAAAGAGGCAGGCCAGGTGAACTGTCTTTTGATGGCGCCTCCTCCCGGAGGTGAAGACGCCTGCCATCATTCACTTGTGTGTTTATTCATCATGATGATTGTATATGACACGCTGGCCTTGGTTGCCAGGAGCTTGATGCTCCCTACCAGTAGTTGGAGTTTCAGCAGCTAGAGGGACAGAGGCAGCAGGGTGACTGGAAGAGAAAATCTTAGAATTGTTGAAGGAAAAAAAGCAAACAACAAGGACAGGCGTGGACGACTTTCGGGTTGTTTGACAGGACTGCTGCCTGCCAGCCATCCATTTGCGCCGCCAGGTATGCGAAGACACCGGTTGATTGTGGTTTCCAAAAAATATCTTGTATGTAGCACCACTAGAGTAGGGGCTGGCCCCAATGACAAGCCTCCACTTGTGCAATGTCTTTGCCTAGAAAGCGTATTTTTCGGGGAAATTTAATGGCCACATTCATCTTTCCCCAGTACCGACATAGAGCTGGTGGGACTTAGATACTATGTTTTTGCTTAGATCGCCTGAAGTAGGGATGGGAGGCTGGCCTCATGAGGAGAAAGGGGTGACCCCAAATAAATATGTCTGGAAGAGCGGCCTAGCCGCGCTTCATCGTTCTGTTTCCCACTGCTGAACTTCACTGTATTGTATTCAATTCACGTAAGTGCGACCGGGGCTTGAACTCATGATGCATTAAGTAACAGTTGTACGAGTGTGCCATTTAGCAAAAAGGGCTGGGCAGTGCACGTAGTATGCACCATTCCACCAAAAGGGCTGGGTGGTGTCTATCCCATTCATCCAGAAAGGTTGGGTATGCTTGCTAAAACTCCTTGTTTGTTGACACGTGGTTAGGCCCCAATATTGTTGATATTATTGCATAGATCGGATTCTGATGAGGAATCTGTTTCTCAAAAGAAACACATGTTTACCACTTACCGACTTGGGCTTCGTTCAGGGGTGAAACTGCTTCCAGTGGGATTCGAGCTCATGAATCTGTTTCGAAACAACTTGAATTACATATGGAGTGGGTAATGGGTTTCCTTCCTGGCTCCAACATGGGGCCCACTGTACCCCCAATGTTGGAGCCTATCCTCTTTCCTGTCTGCCGTTTATGATTATGTATTATTTTTAGCGTTCTAAGAAGAAACCATATGTAAGAAACCATATGTAAGGGACCAGACGTTGGAGGTGATATGTCCACGACAGGGCCCCGCAGCAAGGTTGCACTTGCATGAATTAGACCACCAGTACTTCCAAAAGTCGCAGCCATATACGAGCCGCCATGCGCTGGGCCGAACAGGCTTCGCGGCTCCCATCCAAATTCATTCAAGCGGATATGTTGCGGCTCTATTTTTCACCGTCACGGTGGCCGATGTATGGTTGAAGTACTGGCGGTTTGAGAGATATTGGGCCTTGCTCCACTACTCTCTATTCATCTCGAAAATCCAGAGTGGATCAAGAGTAGTCAGACTCTCGATTTCAAGTAAAATGGAGGCGTCAATCCACATAATTCTCTATTGCAACACTCTCGAAACGCTGTGTGTTCTGATTTCCTTCTTTTCCCTTCCTCTCAAAGACAAAAAAAAGAAGAGAAAAGAAATTGGCACCTGGTTCCCAACATGCTGCCCACTATCGAGGCTCGAGGAGAGCACCCTCGATTTTCGAGAGTGTGCAGGCTGAGAGACTCTAAAAAAATTGAGTCCTCTCGGAGGAATCCTTCCGACAGAGTGAAGTTGAGCAGAGCAGCACTCTAAAAAAGCGCAAAATCCAGAGTCGTGGGGCGAACACCAGTACTTTTGACCCTTCCTTCCCTTGCCGAGCCTCAAACCACACTTGGTGCCAAAGAAAAATGAACCGGCCCGGCCTTCTTATGGCCGGTGTGGCCAGCATTTCGCTCCGGTAGGCCGATCGCCGAAACTTGCGGCCACATGCACGCCACGTCGGGGAAAATGGCTGGGAAGTTTAGTGGTGTGGTACAAGTGGGACCTCCGCCCCCCTTGTGATGGCTGCAGTCCGTTGATGATGGGGAGCTGCTGCCCCTGCTGGAAACCATGTTCAGCACCCTTTCTCGACTGGAAGATCCTTCCTTTCCTGTCTGCAGGCTGATGCTGGGTGACGTCACTACTAGTACCATAGGTCGCCTTTTCCCTTTTCCTGTTTGACTTTTCCCTTTTCCTGTTTCTCATCATCCAACCGACTGGCCCAGGTAATTCAGCGATTTTGCACATCTGCTCCCCAGGTTTCAAACTGAATCTGCAGCTCAACACTTAGGGCATACTCACACTGGGACCTATAATCCCAAATTCCCCCCTAAAAAGGGTAGAGGGCAGATCACACAGATTTGCCAAAGTTCTAAATGTACTATTTGTGTGCCCATTTGTCAGCGGCCTGGGTAGCTGCGGGGCTAGGGAATTTGCGGTCACCTCTGGAGGTGACCGCAAATGCCCTATTTATTTTTTAGCATTTTCTTTGGAAATTGGTGAAAACTTGTTCACAAAAGTTCTTGCAAAATTTGTGGATGGCGCCATGTGACCAGCAAAGTACCAAATCGGACGGCCACAGCCTTGTCCCCTCCGAAAAGGTACAGCAGTGCGACCTGAACCATGCCCAAAACCTCAAGTCCTCCTTTCCCAAATCCGCATATTTTGCGGATTTGGGGTCGCAGTGTGAGTATGGCCTTACATGAGTGTACCATTCATTCATCCTCAAGTGCATCATGTGAACTCGAGTCCTCTTCTCAACAGTCACATGCGGCATCTCTCCCATGTCGCTGACGATGATCAGATATGCGCGGGCACCGTTCTCCACCCCGCTGCTGCCATGTTCAGCGCTCCCGTTGTAGGTGTTGTTGTTGACGTTTTGGTTGTTGATGTTGATGTTGTCATCATTATTGTTGTCGTTGTAACTGTTGTTGTTGTCGTTGTTGTTGTTGTTGTAGTCGTTGTTGTTGTTGATGTTGTTGTTGTCCTTGATGTTGTTGTTGTTGATGCTGATGCTGATGCTGGAGTTAACCTCGTCTCCCTGCGCTCTGTCCTCCTGCCAGTCCTCACCCTCCAGGTCGTCTTTGCCCTTCAACTGGTCTTCAAGCTTATAACGCAGGTTGCGACCCTCAGCGAAGAGGTCATAGCAGGTAGACATCATGGCCTCTGCCCTCTTCCGGTCGATGCAGGCTTCCAGCTGGGGATCCGGCCCGTCCTCCAGCCACCAGATGATATCCAGCATGTCGTCGCCCATATTCTTCAACCAAACAGCCAGAGAGATCGCTCGCCCTTCTTCTTCTGGCTCCTCAATTGACCGCAAAGACAGCTCCCCCACCATCATCTGTAACCGCCTGCATCCCAGCTCCAGTGTCACCGGCCAATCATCTGCGTTGTAGCTCCCCCCCCACCTCCATCTCTAACCCTGATAGCTGCACTCCACTTGTGTTTCCGCGTCGACCTCACTGCTGGCGCCACCCCTGCGCGCGCGTCGCGCCACGTCACCAATCAACAGACGCCACGTGGCAAAAGGAAGCCACGCACGACTGTCGGGCGCACGCCCAGGCCTATCAGCCGAGGAGCTTCCCTCCCCTGGCGCTAGTCTAGCCGGGGAGACCGGGCCTCGCCGGTCCGCCTGCGTCAGGGCGCTAGGTTGATGTTCGTAGTGAGAGGGGAGTGGAGGGGAGGGTGTGACTCCCATCTAGCTCAGTTGTGTGGTCAATTTTTTCTTTCTCCGTGAGGTATTTCAAGAAATTCATGCATGAGCAAGACACCCCTGCATGTTATTTCAGCATTCAGGAAAAAAAAAAAAAAAAAAAAACTCTATATATTTCTGGGCGTAACCAGTGTGTGAGGCACAAATTCGACAGGTATTTGAATTGGTTGGGCAAATGTCAGGGCCGCGACTGTCCGTTGTGGACACACAACTCCAGTGTGACCGCACGAGGCCACCCAAAGGCACAAATACATGGTACCAAACTCCCCAGATATTTGTGACACTTCAGGTCCCTATGTGTGCTTCCACCTTTCCTGCGAAGTGGAGTCACTCAGGGGTCACTAAGGGCCCCCCCCCGTTTCCGGCAAGTGGTGGTTTACAGCTCGACTGCTCTGTACGGAACGTCCTTTCTCCCGCTCCCGCCGATAGCCGACCCACCTTATATACGCTGAGCACAGGATAATGCTGTTTTGTCCTCCTGGAAAAGAAGCCGACGAACTCGGACGAGACTCCTGACGAAACTCGAGCGCGGGGACGGAGGGGACGAACGTGAATTTCGCGTGGGCGCTGGCGGGAAGAGCGACGGTCGCCCTCCTGCCGTGCGTATTGCGCGCGCCCACGCACGTATCTGCACGCCTTCGGAGCTGGCTGCGCGACGTTCAGCGCTCACGTCGCGCGCCATTTCGCCTCATCACGCTTGTGCTGCTGCTCCGCCTGCCTACGTACTGTAGGATGTCTCTCGATCAGGCTGATGGCCTGCTCCTGTCGGCTACTCGGTTTGTCCAAGAGAGACTCATTGCGAATCCCACTGATGGATTGTGGGCGGGAGCAGTTGTGGGGGCCATTGTCTTGATCATTCCCTCGCTGGCACGGAGATGGCGCCACGTAGAGATCACCAACATGCCCCGCCTTTGGAGTCATTGGGGTGGGGGTCTCTCCGGAAAAGAGGTCAGTTTCTCTTTCTTTCTTTCGTTCTTTCTTCTTTTTCGTTTTTGGTTTGCAAATCTCTTTCTTTCTCCTTGTCTCTCATACGGTAATGAAGGTGCCTCCATGGCGCTGCCTGGTAGATGGCTTGTGATACTTGCAAGGATGTCGTTTGATGCACACTATCACGCCCCCTCCTGTGTGTGCGTGTATGTCTCTTTGTTGAGTGTGCTTGCATGTCTCTTTGTTCCGTGTGTCTATATGGATGTGGAGATAGATAGATAGATAGAGAGAGAGAGAGAGAGAGAGAGAGAGAGAGAGAGAGAGAG